AGCTTAGTGGTGTACTAGCAAAACCATTAACAGATTTATTTAACCAATCATTGTTAACAGGAGTAGTCCCAGAAGATTGGAAGTTAGCGAATGTTGTGCCCATTCACAAGAAAGGTAATAGGGAGGAGTCGGGCAACTATAGGCCAGTAAGCCTTACTTCAGTAGTGGGGAAAGTGATGGAAACTATGTTAAAGGATAGGATTGTTGAACATCTAAAAACACATGGATTTCAAGATCAGAGACAACATGGGTTTACTTCAGGGAGATCATGCCAAACTAATCTTATTGCTTTTTTTGATTGGGTAACTAAAATTATAGATCAGGGTGTTGCAGTAGACATTGCATACCTAGATTTCAGTAAGGCTTTTGACACTGTTGCACATAGAAGGCTTATCAATAAACTGCAATCTTTAAGTTTGGATTCCAATATTGTTGAATGGGTAAGGCAGTGGCTGAGTGACAGGCAACAGAGGGTTGTAGTTAATGGAATATATTCGAAGCTTGGACTTGTCACCAGTGGGGTACCTCAGGGATCTGTACTTGGACCCATTCTCTTTAATATTTTTTATTAGTGATATTGCAGAAGGTCTTGATGGTAAGGTATGTCTTTTTGCTGATAATACTAAGATATGTAACAGGGTTGATGTTCCAGGAGGGTTAAGCTAAATGGCAAATGATTTAGGTAAACTAGAAAAATGGTCAGAGCTGTGGCAACTGACATTTAATGTGGAAAAGTACAAGATAATGCATCTTGGATGTAAAAACCCAAGGGCAGAGTACAGAATATTTGATAGAGTCCTAACCTCAACATCTGAGGAAAGGGATTTAGTGGTAATATTTTCAGATGACTTAAAAGTATGCAGACAGTGTAATAGAGTTTTAAAAGACCACTTCTAGCAAACCTGAACAGTGCTCAGATCACCTACAGCTGGAAGGAAAAGGCCTTATGCATGTCTGAGTTTCTGCAAGTCTGAGTTTTAAAAGACCACTTCTAGCAAACCTGAACAGTGAAGGAAAAGGCCTTATGCATGTCTGAGTTTCTGCAAGGTAGACTATGGAGGAAACTATCTACCCTTAAAACTGGACACTATAATTGTATTGAATTTTAACCCCTTGCATATTTTTAAACTATATATCTCTAACCACCATTTCTTTGTCATTGTATCTTAACTGGACGTGCTTGCTCTTTAGTGTGTATATATATGTATGTATATATATATACATATATATATATATGTGTGTGTGTGTGTTTGCTCATGCACACATATATTCTGCAGTTTGTCTTGTCCTGCATGCTAAAGCTAGTTGCTACCTGCCCTGCTCAACATTGGTTTTGTTAACTTAAATGTTATTCAACATCCTGCTTATCTCTAAAGATTTTCTCTGTTATTTCTTCTCCCCCCCCCTTATTTTATTGATACCCACCCGAATGTCTTGCTTGACCAATCCTCACCTCCTCTGTGCATCTCCATTCCATAGCTTTTATTGCATTTATCCTGTTTTGACCCTATTATCTCTGTCTTCCACAGTCTGAGTTTTAAAAGACCACTTCTAGCAAACCTGAACAGTGCTCAGATTCCCGCCCACCCCTCCCCAAGTTCCTTACTACATTTATAGATAGAATCCCACACACAACTTTAGATAATTCCAAATAGCAGCTGCAAACACTACCCGTAATGAGCACAATCCACCTTCTTAACCCCTAACACTCACTCCTTCTCCTCCCTTATGCTCATTCTCCTTCACTCTAATTACCTACCCATCAGAGCAATGCTCTATATTCTCCTCCTCTCCTTCTCTCTCATCTCCCTAAGGATCAAAATATCCCCTTCCACCCACTTCCCTCAACAAAACACTAACATTTACATTAATCCCTCTCTGCTACACTCCCCCCTTCTCTCATCTCAAGCCCTGCACTCATTTCTCTATTCTCTCTCTCCTGCTCTAACCCAATCTCACCCTAGTCGCCGCCCATATAAAACCCACTCACACCTCCTGTCTCTATCTCTCCTCCTACTTCTGGCAGCTGGTGACGTCTCTCCCAACCCAGGGCCCCTCACCTCATCTGCTCACACTAAAATAACCAGAAACCATGCAAACCTCCTCCAAATACCCTGCAGTTTATCCTCCTCTACCAAAATTCAGTGTGCACTCTGGAATGCTCGCTCCATTTGTAGTAATATCAAATCTACAGCTATACATGACCTCCTCATCTCTAACTCTCTCACAATACTGGTGCTCACTGAGACCTGGCTATCTCCATCCGATACCGCTACTCCTGCTTCTTTATGTTTCGGTGGTCTACAGTTCTCCCATACTCCTAGACTTGACTGTAAAGGAGGTGGTGTAGGCATCCTTCTCTCCCCTCAATGTACCTTTCAACCTATCCTCCCTACCCCTGCTCTATCCTTTACTTCCTTTGAAGTTCACACTGTACGCCTTTTTAAGCCCACTCCTTTAAGAATTGCCATCATCTATCGCCCCCCCGGTCACCCTAAACTATTCATTGAACACTTTTCCTCCTGGTTACCCCACTTTCTTTCCTCTTGCACTCCCTCTCTCATACTTGGGGACTTCAATATCCCTATCAACAAGCTCAATTGCCCTGATGCCTCTCGTCTGCTCTCTGTAACCTCATCCTTTGGACTCACACAGATTTCTTCCTCAGCAACTCACACTGCAGGAAACACTCTTGACCTCATCTTCACCAATCTCTGTACCACCTCTGATCTCGCCACTGCTCCATTTCCTTTGTCTGACCACCATCTGCTAACATTTAACATCTGCACACCCCATACCAAAATCTCACCACCGTCCACTCTCCAACCTCACAGAAACCTCAACTCTCTCCATCTCCAGCACTTCTCCACTAAACTCCAAACACTCCTTTTACCCATCTCAAATCACAACTGCCCTAACTCTGCAACCTCACTCTACAACTCCACTCTCTCCTCTCAACTTGACATCATGGCACCTCCTACAGTTAAACGCAGCAAGCGCCCCCAACTACAACCCTGGCACACCAAGCTGACCTGTTACCTCCAAAAATGTTCCAGAACTGCTGAACGCTGCTGGAGAAAGTCTCACTTTGCATCTGACTTTGTCCACTATAAATTTATGCTGCGCTCCTACAGCATGGCTCTTTCCTCTGCAAAAGTAAGCTACTTCAACACCCTCATAAGCACACTGTCCCACCAACCCAAACACCTGTTTCACACTTTTGATGCACTTCTTCGCCCTGTGACTCCCCCTCCTTCCACCACCTTGTCCGCCACAAACTTTGCATCTCATTTCACTGAGAAGATCTCTACAATCAGGAAAGAGATCTCTAATCTTTCTCCAACCAGTATCAATACATCACCCAACCCCACTCCCCCTGTCATCCTAAGCTCATTTGCACCTGCTACAGCACAAGAGGTTTCTGCTCTGCTCCTGTCCTGTGGGGATATTTATGGGATAATAATAGTAAACAGTTGAGAATTGCCCACTAATTCAATTCTCAGATCCCCAAAGAACGTTTATCGTAAGTGTAAGTATTTCATATAATTAATATCACAATGTATAAAAATAGATTTTATTTATGATAACCAATAATTAACAAATAATATTATGTAACATGCGTGACAATAATCAATGAATATCCAGTATAACATGATATGCAATACAAAGGAATGGGTATTACGTTTCAATGGCTAAATAGCATTTCCTGTCAAGACTTTATTTATGACTATCTTTAACACAGACTGAAAGTGAAACTTTTCACAGCGAAGAACAGAATTCCTCAGAGTGCAGCGTAAGGTCGTAAAGTTTAGCCGACAGTTAGAATAACCCTTTCAATGCTGGCTAGATCTCCTAGGTAGTTAAGATCTATTCTTATGTAATTTTTAAATAAAATAACATTTACAGCAGTTCATTAGTCATTTCCTGTAACCATCCAATAAGAGAATCTACCATATTTTATGAGCAGAGTTTGTTTTTAATTTGTCTAAAAGATATCTTATCTTAATTTAGAGCAAATCAATACACCTGGATAAAAACAACGGTATGCTAACATGTGATAATATCACCTCAATATATAATTATTCTTAATTCCACCTGCAGAATGGAATGTTTATAACTATATATTCTTTACTTAACTAAGATTTCTTAATATGGAAATCTGACCGTGCTTTATCCTAGTCATATATCATGCTATTAATACATTTTAATTAATTTAATTTAATTAAATGAAACCAGTATAATTACCAGTTGAGTAGATATTTCATCCGATTGGTAGTCTCAGGAACTTATTTGGATGTCTCTCTGCATGGAGGTTGGAGTCCCCAAACTTCCAATTCCTCTCTCCTCTTTTCCTTTCTCCTTTGCATCCCTGCATCTCTCTATCTTCCCTTTGTCTTAACTTTTAAAGGGCCAGACTCTCTGTACGTCATCAGTTGATAACCCAATAGAAGCACTAGAGGTGTGGTTATCTTCCAGATCGCAATTAGGTATTTGGTCTATAGAGGGCAGTCTTGTCCCACTAAACATACCTATCCAGGAAAGAGTTAACTTTTCCTGGTGGCTATTTTGACGTCATTTTGGCCTATCTAGATAGTGGCCATAACTTACGTATCCTTCACAGATCAAAGGGTTTATTTAAGTTTTGTCCAGACTATGTGTCTGGCAATCTGAGTTTTGACCCGTAACTTACAATGGGACCTTATATGTATAGACAGTTAAATTGTATTATTTAATCTTCTCTGTCACAATTGTCTGGGTTTAGAATTGATTATATTCTTCTTATCACTTGTTTATACTATGCATTCCTTTTAGCTCTGGCAAAGTGGCTAGTCTTACAGAAAGAAATCTTGTGTCTTTTTGTTAACTTGGAAATAACAAAATGGAGTCTGCTCTGTTCAGAGTGACTCAGAATATACACTTTTAATTTCTATCATAGCACAAGATGTCTGCCGATATAAATACCCTGACAGTCCTCCCGCCCCACCACCTGCTCCCTCGATCCTATTCCCTCGCATCTCATCCGCACTTTGTCTCCCTCTCTTGCTCTTCCTCTCGCTAACATTTTCAATCTCTCCCTTTCCTATAGCACATTTCACTCTGCCTTCAAACATGCAACCGTAACCCCAATTCTGAAAAAGCCCAATCTTGATCCCAACTCCCCATCCAACTACCGCCCTATCTCACTACTGCCATTTGTCTCCAAGCTCCTCGAGAAAGTTGTCTACGCCAGATTGACAGACTTTCTTGAATACAACTCTCTGCTTGACCCCCTTCAGTCTGGATTCCGCGCTGGTCACTCTGTCGAAACTGCTGTGACCAAAGTATCCAACGATTTAATTGCTGCTAAATCTCGCGGCCAATACTCTATCCTAATCCTCCTTGATCTTTCTGCCGCCTTTGACACTGTTGATCATCAACAGCTTCTTCACATTCTCCGTAACTTTGGTCTACGGGATTCTGCTCTCTCCTGGTGCTCCTCCTACCTCTCCCAGCGCCCCTTCAGTGTTTCTTTCTCTGGCTCTGCCTCTTCTCCCCAACCCCTCCTTGTCGGTGTCCCCCAGGGTTCTGTCCTCGGCCCCCTACTGTTCTCTATCTATACTGCCTCCCTTGGTAAACTCATCAGCTCTTTTGGCGTCCAATACCATTTATATGCAGATGACACGCAAATCTACCTGTCCTCCCCTATCACCTCTACCTCCCAGGCTCGCTGCCTAGGGTTTCTTTTTGATTCTGATCTCTCTTTTACTCCCCATGTTCAATCGATAGCCAAATCCTGTCGCTTCCAACTCAAGAACATAGCGCGCATCCGCCCATATCTAATGCCGGACGCGGCTAAGGTACTGGTTCATGCTGTTCTCTCTTGCCTTGACTATTGCAATCCCCTTCTCACCGGTCTTACATGTTTCCAGATTGCACCGCTGCAATCTATAATGAATGCGGCTGCGAGGCTTATTTTCCTGTCCGGTCGCACCTCCCACGCCTCCACGCTCTGTCAGTCCCTGCATTGGCTTCCAATTAGATATAGGGCCCAATTCAAAATTCTGGCGCTTGCTTACAAATCCCTACATAATGCTGCTCCAACATACCTATCCTCCCTCATACACAAGTATGTCCCGTCGAGACCCCTGCGCTCAGCCCAAGACCTACGCCTATCCTCTGCCCGGATCCCCACCTCTGATGCTCGCCTTCAAAACTTCTCCAGGGCTGCACCTATTCTGTGGAACTCCCTTCCCTCCTCAATCAGACTTTCACCCAGCCTCCATTCCTTCAAAAAATCTTTGAAAACTCACTTCTTTATTAAAGCGTATCAATTAAACTGTCAGCAGGTTTCTCATCCCCCACCCCATGACTCCGTTCCTTCACCTGTCAAAAATGACCTACCAGCACTCAATAAACCCTTCTGTAACAAACTATTTAATTCCCCTACTTTAACCCTTTGTGTCACTATACCCCACTCCCTCTAGCATGTAAGCTCATCGAGCAGGGCCCTCAACCCCCTCTCTTCCTGTACGTCAGTGGTCTGATCTCAATTATGTGTCTGTTAGTCCACCCATTGTACAGCGCTACGGAATTTGTTGGCGCTATATAAATAATAAAATAATAATAATAATAATAATAGAGCAGCAGGAAATGCTAGCAAAATGTTTGGTTGTATAGGGAGAGGTATTAGCAGTAGAAAAAGGGAAGTGCTCATGCCATTATACAGTACACTGGTGAGACCTCACTTGGAGTATTGTACACAGTACTGGAGACCGTATCTTCAGAAGGATATTGATACCTTAGAGAGAGTTCAGAGAAGGGCTACTAAACTGGTTCATGGATTGCAGGATAAAACTTACCAGGAAAGGTTAAAGGATCTTAACATGTATAGCTTGGAGGAAAGACGAGAAAGGGGGGATATGATGGAAACATTTAAATACATAAAGGGAATCAACACAGTAAAGGAGGAGGCTATGTTTAAAAGAAGAAAAACTACCACAACAAGAGGACATAGTCTTAAATTAGAGGGACAAAGGTATAAAAATAATATCAGGAAGTATTACTTTACTGAGAGGGTAGTGGATGCATGGAATAGCCTTCCAGCAGAAGTGGTAGAGGTTAACACAGTAAAGGAGTTTAAGCATGCGTGGGATAGGCATAAGGCTATCCTAACTATAAGATAAGGCCAGGGACTAATGAAAGTATTTAGAAAATTGGGCAGACTAGATGGGCCGAATGGTTTTTATCTGCTGTTACATTCTATGTTTCTGTGTTTCTATGTCTGGTTGGCCAGTGCCATACATAGACCAATGTTTGGTACAAATGCAGGGATCCAAAATATTCACTGCCATTGACTTTGCGCAGGGATATTGGACTGTACCAGTCCATGATGAAGACCAATACAAATTGGCCTTCACATTTGGAAAGCAACAGTATACTTGGACCCGTAAGCCCTTCGGTTACATAAACTCTGGTCATGAATTCGCTGTGTTCATGCATAAAGCTATGCCTGACGCACTTGAGAGAGGAATGTTATCATATGTCGATGATGTCTTGCTGAAAAGCACTTCCTTTGATAAGCATATCATAGATATTAGACATGTTCTCACTCAGTTAAGAGAGGCAGGGATTAAACTGTCTTTACAAAAGGCGCAATGGTGTCGCACCCATGTCAATTTCCTCGGACATGAGGTAACTTCTGAAGGATTAAGTCCCCAGAGGAAGAAGGTTGAAGCTGTAATTAAGGCTAAAACACGCTCAAACATCAGGGAATTAAGATTGTTTCTTGGTATGACTAATTACTCCCGTAAGTTTATAGATAACTATGCAGAAATAACAAAACCACTATTACACCTGCTTAAAAAGGAAACTACCTGGAACTGGGAGGAGCCTCAGGACCAAGCGGTAAGTGGACTGAGGAGGAAGCTCACTCAGGCACCCTGTTTAGCATACCCAGAGGGAGGTAAACCCTTCTATCTGGAGACAGGATTTACCGATTTAAGCATAAGTGCTATTCTGTATCAGAAGCAGGACAGATGAGGATTGCAAAACCAATGAAGATTTACGAATCTTGATGAGATATAAAGTCCAATTTAGTATCATGGATGGGTTGCTGGTCAGAACTTCTAAACATAGTATACAACAATGGGTAGTCCCAACTGTATACCAAGGGTTAATGCTCCAACACGCACATGATGCACCTACATCTGGGCATTGTGGTGATAAGATCACATATGAGATCTTGCGTGATTATGCATATTGGCCACACATGTTAAGAGATGTTAAGACATACTGTCAGGGATGCTTGATTTGTCTGCAATATCAACCCCATGGTCCAACACATCGTGCACCACTTCAGAAGAGGGGGGTGTCATTACCCTGGTCTGATATTCAAATTGACTTTATAGGTCCTGTAACAAGATCTTCAAGAGGTAACAAATACATGTTAGCCGTTACATGTATGTACACAAAGTGGCTAGAGTGTTTGCCTTGTAAAGAGAAGGCGAGTACCGTGTGCGCCACTTTGTTGATTAACCATGTCTTTTCCAGGTTCGGTCTGCCTCAAAGAATTGAGTCAGATAGAGGTAGTCATTTTACCAGCGAAGTAATGGCTAAGATGTGGAAAATTCTAGGTGTTAAACGAAAGCTACATATTGCATACCACGCTGCGTCTAGCGGGGGGTAGAGCGATATAACCAGTCTATCGTTAATATTCTGAAGAAGTATGTTAAGGAGTCTGGTAAAGACTGGGACATTAAATTGCCCCTAGTTTTAATGGTGATTAGAGCTACACCTAGCACTGCTACCAAATTGTCACCTTTTGAATTGATGACAGGAAGAAAGATAGTTTTACCACAGCATTTACTATATCGTACTTCGGATCATAACTTGATCAATGCTGCCACTACGCATCAGTATATCGAAGATTTGCGCAAGCATTTACAGCATGCGTTTGCTTTTGCCCAAAAGAATCTAGAAAAAGCAGCGACAGGAGTTAAGACCTATTACGATTTAAAAAACACGAAAAAGGAATATGAGATCACAGATCAAGTCTATCTGTATAACTTTGCGTGAAATCAAGTTAAGGAAAAGAAATTTTTACCTTGGAAAGGGCCATATGTCATCATTGACAAAATTTCCCCTGTAGCGTATAAGATAAAAATTCCTAAATATGGTGATTGTATTGAAAAGTTTGTTCACATTAACCAGTTGCGTGCTTGCCATCCTAAATCTCAATTAAGGATTATAGGTGTGGATTCGGACACAGAAGGGTGAACGACTAACCTGGATGAATGCTTGATTCACGTGGTATCGTATGATGTGAAATGTTGTGATGTGCCATGATCTCATGTACGTTCATGTCATTAACCATTTCCTTTCCATCCAATAACTACATTTTCTTAGCAGGTTGCTAGCTTGTTTAGCTGCTATAGGCGAATTACTGATGAGTCAGTAATAAATGTAGTGAGGGATGAAGTTATAAAAATATAATTAGACAGAATACATATGTTGATGAATCGTGATAATGCATTGTCCTAGGCCAAGTGATGTCACACTGTTATAAGTTTGTATGCTTAACAAACCTTGAATCATTAGTAGATAAGTCTGAAACGAGTAACCGAACCGTGACTGTCGAAAGATGTCCAAGAAGGACGTGGCATGTTTCTGGATCGTACTGCTCCTGTGCCAAGAGCTATGGACTGGCCCAATCGCAGAGATAGGACCATCCTCCGGCATCCTGATTCAAGAGACACCAAGGTTCATCTTGACAGAGAAGATGATCCTGACCCGACGTGTGTTCGTCAGCTTGGACCCCAAGATTTCCATCAAGAAGGCATACAACATTTCATCGATGCAACTTCCTGAGTTACAGACTTGGTACCAGATGAACCTCCAAAGAGCACAGGACCGTGTGCGAAACATATTGGAGCAAGCCCGGAAACCATTTGTATCGAGTACTATTTCAATGAGCAACCGACCCAAAAGGTTCCTCACCGCCATAATTGTTGCATTAGTTTGTGCCACTGTCGGTGCAGTTGTCACAACTGGAATGTCTGCAGCCAACTCTATTACTGTCCAAAAGCTGGATATGGAAATCTATGTGCTAAAGCAACACATTAACGATATTCATCAGGTGATAAACCAGCAAAGAACACTTCTCCAAGACGTGTTAACTATTGTGCAAGACACAGTTGTTACAACAAATTTGTTAATTGCCAAATCCACTG